TACAAAAAAAGGAAGTTAAATTTTAAAAAAGTAAAATTGTCAAATTAAGATTGCAATCAATGAAGAAAGGAAGATAATTTTGGGGAGTGAGGGGCGAGGTCTGTTTGTCTGTTATATAACAAGCCACCCTACAAGTAGTGACAAAATAATATGTCACTACTGTTCTGCTTGTGGATCTACAGTTTGGGCATAGCTTAATGAGAAGGCTCAGCTCTACTCCATATGAATCAGCTGGGACTGCACAATTGGAGGCTGAAAGATCCACCCCAAGATGATCCACTCACCTGGTAACATTTATCTGAGGACTCAGAAGAGCCAGGGGCTAGTAGCCTTGGTTCTTTCTGTGTAAATCTACCCACAGCCTGTCTGTAGCTTTCCTTAGAAACGGGTAACTTGATTTGAATCAGTATGCCAAGAGATACAGGAAATGCCTCTTTCTTAGACTCAGCTTCAAAAAATAAGTGCAGCATCACTTCCATTATATTCCATAGAGGCCAAAAAGAATTTTAAAAGATGAAAACAGTGTTAGAGCCCTTTGGGACCATTTAACGAGAAATTATAACCATTTCATGATGGTCCCAGAAGGAGAAGAAAAAGAGAATGACATAGAAAATTAATTTAAAGAAATAATTTATGAAAATCAACTCAATCTGTGAGGCAAACCAGACATTGTAATCCAAAGGCCTAAAAAGTAACAGACACAATAAGCACACATGAAGATACATTATAGTAAAGCTGTTGAAAACCAATAATAAGGATAACATATTAAAAACATCAAGAGAAAAAAGGTGCCCCATATAGGAATTCCGATCATACCATTAGTAGACTTCCAGCTGAAAACATTTCAAGCAAGAGGGTCTGGAAGGAGATATTTAATGTGCTTAAAAAACAAAAACAAAAAACATTTCCAATACTGAATCCTTTACTAAACAAGAGTAACAATCTAAATAGAAGGAAGAGTAAGGAACTTCACTGGAAAGCAAAAACTGAAAGAATTTATCAACACTAAGCTGTACGCAAAAGAGATCCATAGGGATTGTTACATGGCAATGAACAATGAATACTGAGACAGGAGACAGCTAACTTAATATAAAGGAAGAGAAAGGGAAGTATCAGTGTGGTCCTCTAGAACCAGTTATAGACCAGATAGTCCAACAGGTCATACGTCCACCCTATGGGAATCTTGGGTAAGCCATCAGACAAAAAATAATGGAAGTAATACATAAGGCAAGGGAAACAGAACTTAAAGGTAATGAGAAGGCCTTACAAAAATAAAAAGACAAGACAAACCAAAATTAAAGATAACTAAATGGAGTATGTCAACAACTAACTTAAATGCATATAACTTGAACGTACCAGTGAAATGATGTGGAGTGGTTGAATGGATTGCAAAACAAAGATCACCCATCTGCTGTTTAGAAGAAACATACCTTATCAACAAGGTCAAGCATAATTTAGAGTTAAAAGTTGGAAGATAATTGTACAAGCAAATGGCAAACAAAAAAATCAGCAACAACTATAAAATAAAATTTATAGTTTTTCTTAGAACTAAGAAAAATGAAGAGAAGTTTTTTTTAACACACTAAGTTATGATTAATGTTATAATGCAACAGCAGAAACAACAGCACTCATATGCACCAAGTGATAAGACACCAAGATTCATAAGCCAGTTAAAAACATAACTAAAGAGAGAAATTAATAATAATGCTGAGGGGGGCCTCCCTGGTGGCCTATGGGTTAAGACTCAGCACTATCTTCTCTATGGAAGAGGTTGGATCTTCGGCCAGGAAGCTATCTCACATGGAGCAACAGAGCTTTCCTGTCTCAGCTGCTGTTCCCTTTAGCAGTGTAGTTTAGTAAATCCACCTGTTCTGCTCTCCATTATGTTTCTAGTGAAACCTCTCACCTCCCGCACTACTCGCCTACACCCCAGTTGTTCTATGCAAAAAT